TTTTCCCCAGATTTGGTGAAACTTAAGAAGTTGGGTTTTATGTGGAGTTTCACGAGTTATATGCAGGCTGCAACTGTAAACCAGTTGCTCTAGTAGGAGCAACTATCCTCATAGTAGGATGAGGAAGGGGGTAAACTGTGCTGTTAGCCCAATGCAATGGGAACAATAAGGTTCATGCTCTGGACCTCCAGACTTACAATCCCTTTGCTGCTATTACCAGTTTGAACTGAAACTTCTAGAATCCATTTTCCACCACACCGAGGCTATCTTGACGGAAACGTGGGTGAGATCTGAGGGAAAGGGTAGTTTTGTTAGTTTAAGTACCAAAACACATACAGGCATAAAGAAACTGCTACAGTTTTCAGGAGGTTTTGTGTAATTGTCCTTACTAGCACAGCTAATGATTTTTCTCTCTGAGTTATCCTCGAGAATCATCCCTATCTACAGCTGACTGATAACACTAATCTTAATGGATAAAATCCCTACTTGGAACAGAGTAAAATGAGAGTCATGGGAATATGCTAGTTTAAAACTGCTCTGAGGGTAGGATATGATTGCTTAATGTAATCTATTTATTCATTTAAAAAAAGCCAAAAAACTAGAAGCATCCCAAAGAGATGCATCACTCTTAATTGCTGTGTTGCCATAAGAATGTGTTTAGCACTTCATCAAAGATTCAGATCCACGTTTGCCTTTATGGGATTAGAGTTTTTTTTAAATATTCTTTAAATGTTTTAGGAATAGAAAAATATACAGACCCTAACAAAGAATAGACCTTAGACACTCTCTTACCTACATTAACTGAAAAGCTACAAGTTGTTCCTGAACTAAAATTGTGTCTTCTAACAGTACTAGACTTTACTTCTGCTTGTGATGGCCTTTAGATAAATCAGGTGTCTGCTACAGATTTTTTTTTTAGAAAATACAATGAAGAATAGTAAATTTGCTTTACAGTCAACTACATTACTAGAGAGTGTTATTAACACCATTGCAATTTATCTGCTGCTGTGCAATCAAACTGTGGCTTTTTACCTGGTTGTCAAGTATTGTGTAGAAAGCAACAAGAGGAGCACAGAAGGTGTAATATAGCCTTCTGTAGAATTAACAGATCTAATGAATTTTTTTACTGAGTAATTAAGTAATTAAGTAATCATTAAGAACATTTGAAAAGTATTTTTCTCTTTTGGTTTTCAGTGATAAAATAATGTGTTCCCAGAAGCAGGAGATTGTTCTTAAAAAGGACTAAATTTATTGAATTGAAATATCTAGGTCTTTGGAAAAATATTATGCAGTTTGAATGGTTGCCTAACCTGAAAGAAAGAAAACATTGAAATAGAAAATGTATGTTAATTGATGCATTCTCCTATTTTGCAAAGATGAGCTTTGACAGGGAAGTGATTGTGTTCTGCCCTACTAATAATATCAAGGGATCTTAACTGTACGATTACATAAAAATCTGATTTTTTATACTAACAACTAAACTTTAGTATAGATCTGAGATGTCAGTGTCCCAATAAAATAAGTTCTTATAAAAATTCCTTACATAGTTTCCTTGAAACATTAAAAGGAAAACTTTGTGTGGTGTCGGTTTCTTTTGGTTTACTTGTTTTGATTTTTAAATTATTATAATTTTATTTAATAAAATTTTCCCTCCCTTTATCCCCCAACACCATTCTCGTTATTTCTATTTTGGTTGAAAGATTGCTTGGCTCAGTCATAGGCTTTACTTCAAAACAAGTTACTGTTTAAGACAGCCAATTGAGGTATTATTTTTAAAATGTAATTTAAATCAAGTATTGGATGTGTATAATTGACTGAAACTATTTGTAATGTGGTATTTCAAAAATTACAAAATAAAGCATTATATTGCATAAGTCAGACACTCAGTGAGCTGTTGGCATGTATTTATTTAAATTAATTTATTAGAGAAGTTGAATATAGGAAATGTTTTGTATCTTCCCAGGACTAGAAGTTAATCTTCCAGTGATAACGATTCTAATCTCAACATAGATTAACAGCATGCTATGTCAGCACAATATGTGAAATTTACCTGCTCTACTACTGCTAAATTGTAGCTATTAAATTAGCTCTATTACTTCTTGGCATTTTTTAATAAATAGTAGTCAGTTGCCCTCACTCAAACGTATTGTTTCTTTAAAAAGTCATATCATTAAAACTACAAGCCTTAGTTAAGAGTAGATTGCAAGCTTTGTTACATATCTAGGTTTTGGTTTTAATAAATGAAGCTTTTTTGTTGGAAATTCTTTTCTGCATTGTAATTTTGAACCTGTTTTTTTTAATGCAAATGATCTGTCTGTCCCACCCTGGTATCGGGACAAACTTGCCTACAGGGATGCTTTTTGATGTTAGTTTGATGGTATTTGACCAGTACTTCATGAATCTGTGAAATCATGGATGGATTTCAAGGTATCCCGTTTTTTGGCATGTATTATTGTAAGATGCTTGCTATGAAATTGGTGAGTGTGTAATAATGGATGTAATAATTTTCAGTGATGTTCGTTTTGCAAAAGTGTTATTCATGCTGTGTGATAGTCAGAAATATTCAGCAGGGAATTGCATCATTTTTGGTGTTTTACATGTCACTGGTCTTATTATAATTAGCTTCTGTTGATATATGTAGTATGTCTAAACCCCATGAAATGTCTCTGTAGTGATGATCATAGTGCAGCCTGGGAAAGAGTGCGGGAATGCACCACTACAAATGAGTCTTCATCTTTGTAATTTCTGGGGTTAGAATCGTATTGATTTTGGTAGACTGGAAAGATTGCCAGTGTGACCAATGCCTGATAAGAATAGAAATTAATGTTTGTGAGAATTTCCTGTCTGATGAGATACAAGAGTTGGAATGATAGTGGAGAACAGAGCCTGTAGAAGAGAGCTGCTCTGAGTTTTGCTTTAAGTTTTCAGGGGTCTTTGTAGGGAGGTGAGGGAGGGAGAAGTAGCACCACTGCTGAAGCTTGGAGAGCTACCAAAATAACAAAAAGGTATTGCTTATATTGGGAAACATCATGAAACATCTTTAGAAAAGAGGGAAAGACTGTATGAAATTGTAATGGGCCTGAATCTTACAAGCCTTAAAATGGACCTGATTTTTTAGATCCTGGTGTTCGTTCACTCACTGGTTGATGGCTGAGCACTACTTGCTCTCTGCTCTTCCAACAGATCACCACAGACTTGTTAAAAATCTGCAGGAGGTGAGCACAGACAAAGACTGTGTCCAACCAGAATGACAGGAGAAGTTTAGGTGGGAAAGAGTCAGTCCTAAACCTGAAGCTCCTCCAGGAAATTTTGCAGTCAGAACTACAGACAGCTCTTGTGGGGGCAATAGTGTGTTGTTGCTTGCCCCTTCCGAAGTTCTCAAGGGAAGAGTTGCACTTTGCCCAAATGGTGTCCAAGCAGACCCATTAAAGAGTAATTTCCATTAAAGGTTTGTTTGGTTTTGTTTGTTTGTTTGCTTTTAAATCTATGTTAGTTAAATTTTTTTTAATCTATAGAGAATTGTTGCCATTCTGAAACTGGAATTAGCAGGGATATAGGTCTATGTTAACCACTTTTTTCAGTTCCTTAATGTGCTTTTTTTCTCATAAGTTTTTCAAGGAGCAATATTTTTCTGAAAAATACCTGGCACTACTTTACTGACCTGCCTTCCCCTGCAAAATTTTTTAGGGAAATGACATAAAGCTTTTTTTTTTTTTTAATGAAAATAATTAAAAATATTTTTGTTCCTCAAAACAACTGTGGGCAGAAAACTAGTAAGGTGAAGAAGAACCTTTGTTGTTACTAGAGAAATGTGGATTTTTAAATTACAGCCAGTAGAAAATTGTGCTGGGTGTCTGTGTGAAGGGGTTTGGCCCTGAAAACTCTTCAGCAGAGTTGCAAAGTATATAACTGAGGAAGGTTGTGCTGTTTTGTTCTCAAACATATATAAGAAGTGGGTCTAGGGTTCGCATGACACAAAATAAGCTGCATCAGTGTATTCTAAAAACAGTTTGGCTTCATGCATGTTTTCCCACAATAAATTCACTGAATCACAGGATGGCTGAGGTTGGAAGGGACCTCTGGACGTCATCTCGGCCGCCTAGAGCCACTTGTCCAGGAACTGCATCTTTAGTTTCAGATAAAAGAGGAAGAATATGCTGCTGTGCAAACAGAAAAGACATTTGGCTTTTTTAACCCCCCCCCACCTTCCCTCAGGTGAGCGGGTTTGGCCACAGAGACAAAGTGCTGTCCTCATGCCATTTTGCAGGTGTAGCACCTAGAAATCAAAAACAGTGTTCTTGCCTAGATTGAAAAAGTGCAGCTAATACTAATATGTTTGAAAAACAAAGGAGGTATGTAGCAACTAATTACTCATTACATTTAATGGAATCTCAGTATGGAACTGAGAGCCAGAGCGAAGGAGAGCTCAGTTTTGCCTCTTCACTTGGAAAACACAGCTGTCTTTGTGCTTTAAAGACTGATTAGGCTTAGATCTGTGAAAGTGTCATCGACCTCTTGTTTGAACTTGCATTTTCTTTTAATGCTTGGCTATACCTAGCATTAAAGTATTTCTGTGAAAATTAAAATGTGCAGTCATCACTTAGTACTTGTCTAATACAGACTTCTAGAGAGGGGTTGTGTTGGGTTGACCTTGGCAAGCTTCCAGATGCCCACCCAGCTGCTCTCTTGCTCCCCATCCTTAACAGCAGGGAGGGAATAGAAAATGAAAAAACTCATTGAGTGAGATAAAGATGGGGAGACCACTCGCCAATTGCTTTCAGGGACAAAACAGACTCGACTTGAGGAAATTAATTTATTGCAAATTAAAGTAGCAGTAGATTATGAGAAACAAAGACATAATTTATATTAGATACAATAACTGACTTCCTTTACCTCCCACCCTTTTTTTTTTTTTCCTAGGCTTAACTTCACTGCTTCATTCCCAACTCCTCTGCTTCCTCCCTACACCTTTATAAATTTTTTCTCTCTTTTCTTTTTAGGAGAGGTAAGAAGCACAGTATAATTCTGAGGACCCAGCTGTCAGTGAGAGTCCATGCCTGCATTGGTAAGTTAAGTTCCATGTGTCTGAAAGACAGAAAATAAACAGAATCAATTTCCAAGAAGCAAATCTGTGGAGTATCAGTCAGAGTTACCGTGTTCCAAGTTGAGGATAATGGCAAATAAATTGTGGGGTTTTTTCTTTCTGTTCTGTTTGCTGTGTGCTGAAATTAGGTTACATTAGTTATACTATCCTTAAAACATGTTAAACATCCTAGGGAAGTATAGTGTTTGATAATGAAGTATAGGGTTTGACAGTGAAGTGTGATGACCGGGGGGTGCTTTGGAGAATCTTTGATTATCTGTCTTGTCATAGCCTTTATGTGTGTCCAAAGAAGATTGTGTTCTGGATTGGGAAGGGCTTTTGAAGAATTGTTGGCTGACAGCTAAGTAATACATTTTAATAGCATTCAAAGTTTATTACTTCACATCTTGCAGATTTTGGCTGCATATCTGTCATTATCACAGTGTCAGTGTCTTAAAAACCCTGATTAAAACAATGCTTTCACGAGGAAAAGTCTGATGAAAGTCACAAAGGGTGTGTCAAAAGAGCTTTAGGGTTTTGTGAACAGAGGTTGGTGTACTGTGATGGTGTTAATATGTTCTCCAGTGCTGTACTGAGCAGAGTGTTTCACTGGGTGTTAGTGGCAAAGCTAATGTTCATATTCTGGTGATACTATCATATATGATATGGGAGGCTATTTAAAAAAAAAAAAAAAAGTAAAATTCCTGTGTGTCTGCGGCACAGTCACCTGTTTTGTTTTCAACTTCTCCGTGGTATATTCAGCACTCTAATACGTTTTATTTGTTGTTGCTCTTGCTTCAAGAGATGATAGCTGAAACCTTGAAGTATAGGTATTTTCCTTAAAAGGAGGAGGAGAAAGTCAAAATTTTGTGTCATTTCTACAGTGATACCGCAGTTGGAGGCTTTAAATACAGCTAAGCTTTTTTCTCCTGCCCCCAGGACGTGTTATGAAATGGCGTTTCTGAGAATCTGAACTGAGCATAAGCAACCTACAGAATTCCTCAAATACCTCCCATTGAGAACGATCTCTAGGCTGCTTCATGCAGGAACATTTTCTCCTTTACTATCATTGACTTGAGGAAGTACAGCAGAATAAGCCTACGTGTTAAGTGTTAGAGGAGGAACAGAGGTGCTGCAAAGTCTAAGCTGATTTTATAAATGTGAGTGAAATTAAGAACAGCTTGGAGAAGATTGCTCTTGTTAGGTCTGGAAATATATTTGGCAAAACAGACCAGTGCAAGACAAGACTTGATATGTTTCCTGGATTGAGGTTTTATAAAAAGAATTTTCATGGGATTTTTTTTTCTCCAGAGTGCAACTGTCGAGGAATTGGAGCACATCAGGTTCTGAGCTTCCACATGTGGTTGCACTGTTCTAATGTTTTCATTCAAGCTCGGTGTGGGCAATTAGGCATATTACTGTGCATGTATCTTAATTATTTCTGTATGAAAGTGCATTCCCTTGTCAGGTGCTGTTACTCTCTGGCAGCAGTGATGCATTCAGTGGTGAGTGCGGAGGAAGCCAGGCTGCAAAGTTTGAGTCCAGATTTCAAACTCCTAGAGAAGAGGTGTGTTTGGATATGGGTTTTTGGCTTGGTTCATTATAAGCAGAAGAGCCAAATGCAAATTCTGGTTCTAATTTCCATCCCCCCTGCTGAATTTTAGATTTTTGGGGTAAGTTTCTGTTTCAGCCCATAGATTGATGTAATGTAGTTTCTTCTCTCTTATTTTCTTTTTCATTTTTTGCATAGCAAACATGCCTTAATTTTTGGTTTGGGATAGTTTGAAAGAGTCAGGGGATACCCCGTGTTTCTTAGTACTGACCTTGTTTGGTGAGCTGTGCCTGGCAGTTAAATGTGTGTCATGTCACAAAATAGGGGAGTTGTTTCACTGGCACAGTAGGTGCTACTTCTCTTCGTTTTGCATGTGTGTACATATCAGCTGCCTGTTAGCATCTCTTCTGAAATGCAAGTATTAGGTTTAGAGGTTAAAAGATGTGTTACATATTTGGGGTAGAAGCCTGGAGCTAGAGGAATCTGAGATGGTGTTACGTAGACTAAAGCTGTCTTACTTTGGCTTTTTTCTTTCAGTTTTTACAGTATCCTTGGAAAGCGCTGTGGTTAGCAATGTTACTGTGCAAAGTCCCCAACAGATAGCGAGGGCTGCTGTCTTAGAAGATGTGGTTTGTTATGAAGTGACCTTTCTGCACAGCCTCCTGTCATCTTTGCATTCAGGGTTTTACTTTGCTCTTAAGAGCTGAGTGGTGTTAAGTAAATAGCTTTCCTGCTATAAACTTTCCCATTTGGAAGTCGGATCACTGTTTTTTTCCTTCTTCCTACCTCACTGTACTTTAAATTGCGAGAAATACAAAAGTGTTTGTGTTCAGATGTCCAGATAAAGTTTTCCATCATTAGTGACTTCAGATCTCAAGGAATTCTCGGCATTAGTGTCAGAGGATGTATCGACTACAGGCCAATACTTTCTGAGACTTGGGAAGACTTAGCAAGTCCCATGTCAAGTGGGGTGATTTTTTGGTTTTTTGGTGTTTAGGGGCTTTTTTGGTGATTTTTTTTTGCATGTGAGTTTTTGTTTGTTTGTTTGTTTGTTTTAAGCAAGACAGGGAAGGAATAATGCTTAATAACTTGAGTGTAGAAGTTGGTGGTAGTTTCTACCCTGTTGCATACCAGTCATTCTTAAACATCTCATTCATTTTAATGAATTAATACTTTCTTTTTTTCTCTCTCAATTTGAATTCTTGTCTTATGTTCACACTAAGGATTTTCAGCAGGGAGAAAAAGATTTTTTTTTAAATACCTCTCTACTTCTTTTCCCATTTTGGCTTCATCCTGATTAAATTATCAGGAATAATCATTTTTAAAACCATTGCCCCTTGTCCTATTGCTGTCTGCCCATATAAAAAGTTGTTCTCCCTCTTTTTTTTTTTTTTTTTTTTTTTCTCCCAGAAGCCTTCTCTTCTCCTGGCTGAACAGCCCCACCTCTCTCAGACTGTCTTCATGGGAGAGGTGATCAGAGGGCTGGAGCATCTTTGTTGCCCTCTAGACTCGCTCTAATAAGTCCACTTCTTTCTCGTGCTGAGGACCCCAAAGCTGGATGCAGTACTCCAGGTGGAGTAGGGGAGAGGTACAAGGGCAGAATAGAGTGGGGAAATTACATCCCTTGACCTGCTGGCCATTCCTTTCTCAATGCAGCCCAGGATGCAATTGGTCTTCTGTGCTGTGAGCGGATCCTTAAATCAGATATTGTCAACTCTGGGATCTTTTTCCCCACAAGCTTTCAAATTTGACCTTTTATTCAAATCACATTTATTATGAGTTATTACCCTTGTGGGAAAAGTCTTTTTAGTATTTTTGGCAGCTGTATGACTTTGTTTGTATTTAGTTTTTTCTGAACATAATTTTAGTTTGTGTATATCTAACAATTACAGGGCTCAGCTGAAGTCTTAATAAAGTCTAATGTAAATGAGGAGGTAACTATACAGAGTAAACACCAACGGTGTCAGAAGTTTTAGCCCCTGAAACAAAATGGAGGGTTTTAGTCAGAGCAACATTTTGACAAGATCTTTACAAGCTTCACTTTTCCTGCAGAGTGACTTTGTGTAGCCATTAGGTCCTTGATGGGACAGCTCTGTTTGTAGCTCTTGCTGTTCATTGCTTCTTGGTAGATTTTTCTCAAAATCTGAAGTGATTTCTGAGAGAAAAGGCACCATTTGCTCTTACTTATCTGGGTGCAACTCAAGAGGAGACCCTTGTCCTCTTCTAAGATGCTTACATCTGCGAAGTTGAATCAGAAGTGCTGCAATCAACACTGGAAAGGATGTTTGAACAGCGATCCATGACAGTGACTTCAAATGATTCTGCCAAAACAAGTTTGACATAAGCTTGAATTGTTAATACAATGTAATACAAGAAGAATGCAAATAACAAAAGTTGATGTGATTCTGAGTACACATATTGACCTGGGATTACTTACAGTACTGTATCTTGGAAGGCCAGCAAATGTTGCAAGCAGTATTTTAAATTTTACTACCTCTTCATGTCAGTTTGTTATTTAAAAAAACCCAAAACCCCCAAACCAAACAAACTAAAAAAATCCCCAACACACACAAACAGTACCCCCCAGTTGGTTTTTTAAAATGTTTTCGTATTATAAAATTTACGGCTTTTTTTCTGTTGTTATAGCTCCTTCCTATATTTATGCAGTCTTTTTTTTATCTGTCAATAGATTAAAAAGAATTTGCATAGGTATGTGTGTATGTTACATTACATAGCTTGATCCAGAGAGGGCCCTAAATAGTGTGCAAGTATGTTATGGCAAGAGTCATGCTAAATGTATAATATAGCTTCAGTGTTAGTTGTTCCAACCATTTTATAACCTTGTTCTATTGGCTTTTGCACATGAGCATTTGCAGAGCTAGCAGAGCATGGTGCTTAAGTGATCTGCAGCTTGCCCACCCGTCCCCATCCATCCACAGGTGCTCAGAGGTAGGTTATTCCCAAGTCTGTGACACAAGGGCTGACCTGCTGCACAGTGGCTGTTTCTAATCCCTATTATTAGGGCACCTGCATTAACCAGTGGTGTTAGCACCAATAACACAGTCTTTCCACAAAGCTCTTGGGATTATCTTCTTGATATCCTTTCACTCATTATATCAGTTATGAAATGTAGCCATAAATATCTTCTCGAGCCTATATTGTTCTGGGATACCTGAGGGAAAAACTGTAAGCTAGTTGCAACTAGGGGGCTAGTAGAAGCCAGCTGTTTTTATTTGTTCTGTAATAGCTGAACTATGCAGCTAGTCCTTTTTTCCTTGTACAGTTTTCCCTTCTGTTATCCATTATGTGAAATCGTTGCATATGCTACAGAAGACACGGTTACGTCCTGCAACTATTTATGCATCTATTGAACCTTCTGGTAGGACTTGCACCTCAGGCATGTGAAGGAACAAGTTCCTACCCAGTGGAA